ACTAATGCAATTGGTTGCTGATTCAGTTGTTTTAATGTGCATGATTGTTAATTGTTTCATGAATAATCACATAGTATTGGAAACAAGTGTTGGTAATGCTCAATCCCACATAGTATTGGAAACACTATTGGGAATGGTATTTAAGGCTTGACTTTCCCACTTCCTTGTTGAGTGATAGAGAACAAGGGGGACTATCGCGCGTCGCCGCCGTCCGTCTCGGGTCGGGTCGGGGTCGTGGTCATACGTGTCTTCGACACGTCCGCGCGAATACTATCTTTTTAGAGAAAATTCTTAAGAAACAAATGCAATACCACAAGTTGTTGCGATTTTGGACTATAGCAACAAACTTGGAATAAATCGTAACGCGAACTTGAACTATCGCAACGAATTTGGAATAAATCGCAACGCGAACTTCGACTATCGCAACGAACTTTGAATAAATCGCAACGAACTTGGAATAAATCGCAACGAATTTGGAATAAATCGCAACGCGAACTTAGACTATCGCAACGAATGTGTAATAAATCGCAACGCGAACTTCGACTATCGCAAATCAGTTTCCAGATTCGCAACGCGAACTTCGACTATCGCAACACGAACTTGGTCTATCGCAATGCGAATATGTAAATCGCAATGCGATAGTCGAAGTTCGCGTTGCGAATCTGGAAACTGATTTGCGATACCGGAGATCGCGTTGCGAATTATCGATCGCATTGCGATTTAGTTGGTCATTTTGGAAAATCCAAAAAAATTTGGTTAAAATCGTATATTATAAGGCATTTTTGGTCACTGAGGTTATTTTCTCTTTTTTTAAAGGTATTCAACTGTTCTTAAGAAGAAAAGGCACCCTTTTTTTTTCATTTTTAAGCATTATTTCGAAACCAAAGAGAAAAGAGAAGTTAAAATGGTCAAGTGGGTTTACCTGAGACGATTGGACTTCCTTCGAGGGTCTACAACATTCAGGCGAGGCCTCCGTCATCGATTATTGATGGAATCTTTGCATGGGGTCTCTCCGGTCTTTCTCCATGACCATCAGGGGACCCATTTGCTAGGGTTGAGTCCATCGTCGCTGGTGTCGAGAAGTGAAAAGTCGAAATCTTCCAAAGATGGTAGGGTCTCGATTAGTTTCTTTTGGGTTTCGATTCAAGTCGAGGAGGGTAGATCGGAGCGTTAGGGTTATTTTAGTGTAGGTCTTGGTCTTCCCGACCCCCGTGTACGGTGGCCAGCGATGCAGTTTGGCGGCTGATAGGGGAGAGGGCTGAGAGAAGGTTGCATAGCTTTTTTAGGATTAGGGCTTCAAATGAAACAAAAAAGGAAAAATGAATTTTATAACATAAGTTTAGGAGTTATTTAACCTTAAATCCCTCTACTTTTTTCGCTTATTTACATTCTAGTCACCTGTAGGGATCGTTTTCGAATTTTACCTTTTTGTTTGTCCCGATTTCATTTTTTTCAGATTGTGTCCCAGTTTTAATTTTGGGTTATTTCCGTTTAATGCACTCATATTTACGCGCGTTTTTTTATTTTCCCCCTATTTTAATTCTTGATTTTGTGTTCAATTTTGCTTTGTTTTGATTTAGTCCTTGGACGAATTTGCTTGGTTAATTTGATTTTAATCCCTAATTGATTTATTAAATATTCAATCTAGTACGTTAGCTGTTCAACTTTTTTAATACTAGTTTGAATTAATATAGTTTCTGTTGCATGGTAATTAATTAGATTAGTTTGTAGATTATTTTAATAAAATGAATGTATTTATGTATGTTTTGATCTGTTTTTAAGGTTATTAGACCTCAAGAATTTACCCCTAGGATATGTAGCTCCTCTATTAAATAATTATGGTTAATTAGAGCCTTAGTTTAGGTTTAGTCCCTATTATGAGTTGGTATGGCCATTTTTAAATTTGGTCATTGAATTTTGTTGCCGACTTTAATTTAGTCCTTTATCAATTATATTATTGATTAACTTTTTTACTAATTAGTTTGTTAAATTTTATTCATGATTATTAGTTTTAATTAAATTTGTATTTTTTATTTTAGTATATCTAGATTTAGTCCTTACATTTAGATTTCTTTTAATTTAGTCTCTTACTTAAATGTTTCTGTTTTAATTTTGATCCATGATTTGTTGTTTTGCATTATATACATATTTAGTGTTAAGTATATTTTGTTAGATTTGATCGTAAACATTTTTAAGATATTATTTTGTGAGGAGAGTTCATGTAAACACGCCTTGATTGACAAGGAATGTGTTTTCAAGAATTATTCAGGAGAAATAGTATCTTTTTATACTTGAATGGTCATCTTTTATATTAAATATATAATTTAAGAAAAACATGATAATGATCTTCGGTAATGATCATTGATGCGCCATACCTGAAAAACAAGAAACACCATTGTCATTTATATTTTTATGTCTGTAAGTCAAATATCAATAACCAACTAAAACTATTAACATGACCTCCATCTTTCTACCGCCTTCAAGCAAAGGAACTTCTTGTACAGGAGCAGTTTTAGCCACCACCGCCTTGACGGCAACTTTTTGTTGCTTCAGCAAAGCTGACAGTAAAAGGCTGGTATTCAAATAATGTAAACCACATAATATAATAGCGTCAATTGTAGATTCTTAAGCGATCCCTACCAGATAATTTTCCTTTTCCATCCTCACCACCAGGAGCTTAGATGGAGCCAGCCAAGATACAAAGTGGGACTTGAATGAGACGGGTTATGCGTGTTGATTTCGGTCTATTGTCACTGGTATTCATATTCTTGATATACACAAAGAAACCACTACCAGGCCACTAGCTCTACCTCAGCGACTTGATTAGCAGCTTTTTTCTCCTCTACTTGAGTCACCCGTCCAACCCAAACAAAAACCTCAGAACCACGGTCTAGTATAAAGCATTTGTTGTTTTCCAAGAGGCTTCTCGTTAGTTCACATTCTATGGGCGTCGCCTTAGCATCAGTTATGCCTACAGGAACCAGTGATTCCAAATTATTAGTAAACAAAAACGTAGACCTTTAAAAACAACAGTAACATAAACTAATACTAACTCAAAAGGATTTCAATCAGGAGTGTCTACTCACTTAAAATTCTCCTAAAGATATGGTCTATCAGAAAGTTCATCTATATTAACCATAATAATGGTGACCATAAGGACATTCTCAAGTCTAACAATGAAAATATACTTAAAATGTATGTTATTGCCTATACTCACGAAGGCTTTTTAATGTTCTATCATTATCTCCTTTCAGTTTTTGGCAAAAAAGAAGCAGCAGTTGCTATATAGTGTACATATTAATCATTCTGGCCTTGATCTATAATGCTGCCTTACGATATTAGTACTAGTCATAACATTCTAGATGGCACATTAAAGAATTTGATTTTAGATTTCTTGCACATAAAGATAATCGATATGAAATCCAAAGAACATTTAGATACATATGGCATTGAACAGATTGGATAAAACTAAAGAATAGATTTTCAGTTTGAAATGAAAGCTGACAGTTTTAGAGTAGGCAACTTTTCAAATAACAAGGCTTCACACTTCCATTGGTTGAGATAATAGGGTAAAAAACACTAGCCGGATCAGGATACTTTGATTTTAAGGATTGTTATACTGAAGAAAGCTCAAGGAATTCAATATCATAAAAAGAGTTACGAGTGTTGATCCAGTCTTTGAGACCTCGAAACAGTTTCTAAGCACATTTGATTGATTTATATGATGATTTCCTTTGGGCAAGAAGTTGGGTCTTCAAGCCTATAGTAATCTGATTACAATCACAACAAAACTGAAGTATCATTACCAACATACAAATGGAATACATAGTAAGAGAATTTTAGAATATACAAATTACCTATAAAGTTTAGCCGGAGTAGTCTTGGGAATAATATCATCTTCATGGCTAACCTTCTTGCCTAACGGAGCAAAACCACCAAACAGGACCCAGAACTCACCGGAATCAGACTCGGTATCCAATTTCCCATCATCTGTAAGGATGATTACCATTAAAAAAAGTGGCAGCTTTAGATAGAGTAAGATAAGTAAACCTTGCACGAAATTCAAATAATACTTGCACAGGAACTAGAAAAGATGGAAAAACATCATCATCAATCAACACTGTAAATGCATCATCCGTACCAACAATTGCAACATTGCACACTCCGTCATGATACTTTTCCTTTAGAAACTGGATGACTTCTAACGCCTTGGCCCTTTCCTGAATATCAGAGTTTGCACCATTGAACTGATAAATCTTTCTTTCAGTGTCCAGGATAAATACATCATCGTGATTCAGTGAAGACCGAGCATAAGGAAGCAAGAGAATAATCCAAAATGGTATTTCCTCCATCCACAAAAGCCTCATTGAATAACTTATAACTCGTTCATGAAACATTTTTTCTTTCTTTTCTTCTTTGTATCCATACTAATCAAACTTATGTAAAGATCATACATACCTGCTTCAATTTGACAACTCGTTTTCCTTTGCAGACATACAACCGTGTTTCAAACATTTATTCCTCTGGTTTTTTGAATCCAGAAGCAACACCACCCTCCAATGGTACAATGCAAGTCTTAAAGTATGACAAAAATTTGTCAGTTTCATGGCCTTGAAGTTCCCTGTGCTGCACAGCACGGGTTCCTAACGCTGCATCTAGCTCAACAGTTTTGATAGCAGCTGTTCCAGCTTCATCCTTCATATGACAACATTATCTCAATATGCTGTTTTATTTCATTTGAAGGAAAATTTAAATCCTTAACGAAATAAGATTAGTAGATGCAGCAAAAGCACACCTGAGTGGTATCTTTCCCAATCCAGAAGTGTATGTCATACATATAAGGACCACTCTTGCTATGTGTAGTCTACAAAAGTACATATGAAAAATCGAGTAAGGCAGTGTTTCACTATAAATGTAAGTTATGTGGATGGTAAAGGAGGGACAAGTAGATTCTGTACATTGAAATCCGAGGGAGGTCTAGGCTTGTAGAACTTAAAAACATGGAATTGTGCTTGCATGATAAAACTCATCAAGAATATCCTTGCAGGGGAAGGATCGTTATGGGTTGCATGGATCAAGAATTATATTTTAAAGGACAAGAATTTTTGGCAGATCGAAGAAGGCCCCAAATTCAGCTGGAGTTTCAACAAACTTCTCAACTACGAGCTGAAGCATTACCAGTTATCTCGAACAGGACCTTAACTATAAGAGAAATCTGGCAGGAAATTAGGATTAATGGGGAAAAAGTTCCTTGGCAATCCTTGATTTGGTTCCCATTACATATACCAAAGCACAGTATGATAGCATGGATGGCTCTCCTTGACCGTCTCCCTACTCGCTACCGTTTACAGCGAATGGGGATTTTAACCGCTGGAAACTGTGTTCTCTGCAGTGATGCTCTGGAATCATGTTCCCATCTGTTCTTTGAATGCTTCATTGCTACTCAATTATGGGAGAAAATCTTACATCATAATGGGATCACGAAATCTATTTCTTCTTGGGATGACATGGTTGATCGGGCTAGCAACACTTGGAAAGGCAAGTCCCTCATTACAACTATTCTGAAACTAACTTGGTGTGCTAAAATCTATACTTTATGGGAAGAACGCAATCGTAGAATTTTCCAAGGAAGATCAAGAACAACCGAAGACCTTTTCAATTGCATCAAAGATTTTGTAAGTATCAAATTGAGGGGGGAAAATATCAATAGGACTGATAGTATTAACTCATTCCTTTGTAACTCTTGGGGCATTGCCTAAACCGATCTTTATTTTGTTAGTAGGATGTACATAGGTTTTTGTGATCGGTGATTTTTTGGAGCAGTTTCTGCTTTCTTGAGTAATAAAATTCGAATTTTCCATAGTCGGACTTTTGGCAACGGAACTGGCTGAAAATTCTGAATACGCCAGATTTCAAGCCCACTACAAGATGTCAAGTCCAACATCCTTTACACAAACAAAATATCAGGACATATATGGAACCTAAGCACAGTTTCAACAATAAGAAAAGAGAATATAGCATTATCTTCTTCTTTTTTCACTTTTTCCTTTTTTTTCCTTTCTTCATGTTGGTAATTGGAAAAAGCTTAGTGATCGATTTCAGTTCTCTTATGATAAAAAGACAAGAAGAAGTACCCGTATACTTGTATAAAAGAAATAAAGACGTATATATAAGACCTTTGTTTTAAGGATACGCTTTCTGACCAACTCCCTGAAATGCAGGATCCAGAGCTTTTGTAGCGGCAGTCATTTCTAGGAATTGTTCTTAGCAGTCTTTAAGTTACAAATTACAGGCATCAAATGATTCAAGGGAAAATTAAGTTATATATCCAGATGATACATAACCCCAAAAAGGAAATGATGATGACAAAGTCACTTCCCTTGATCAGAGCAGAGAAATAAAAACAAAAGCAGATGATGATCAAACAAGTATAAGACGACAATGGTACCTTTACAGAGATACCTCTCTACGAGTTTAAGGACGAGAAGGGAAAGAGCTAAGAAGAGCTGGCAAACCAAACGATAAAAAGGGAAAGGTAAGATGAGAGTGATTTATATACGCCTCCTTGTTCCTGAAACTTGTTTGAGATTTATGAATTGAGAAACGGAGAGAAACGAAATGAATGAACGGAGAGGAAAGAAAAAATGAGTTATATTAGCGAGTTTGGGTCAGAGAAAGTAGTCGTTAGTTGTTATAAGAAAAAATCCGGTAACGATGCTTCCATTCTTTTTTATTTTTTTTCCTAATTTACTTTGCACTCTAAATTTCCCCATTAAATAAGAGTTTCTGAATTTTATCTATTTATTGAACTAAATATCTATACTTAATAAGTTTTGAAGTTCTTAAAATTAATCTTAAATTTTATCTTAAATTTTAATTAGACATTTATAAAATTCTGTAATTTAAGTCTTGATAGTAATGTTCTAATTTTGAATATGATATTTTCATTTATATAAAAGTTCTTTAGTTGAATTTATGGACATGTGATCTTAAAAATTATTATTAGTCTTATAATGATAAGATACATATTAGAACTCATCTTTATTTGATTTTTATTATTTTTATTTTTAATCTTTTTAAATGTATATAAATATTTAAACTCATTTTTTTTTAAAATAACTTTGTTGTTATAATACATTTTTACCTTTCAATTATTATAATAATAGAGTAAGATGTAAAATTTATGTGTAAACTACCTCTTTAATCACCAATTTATTCATTCAACTATTCTTTTTCTTTTCAAAATCATGCCTACTTTTACGTTTCGTTTTTGTTTTGTTCATCAGATATTAGGTTTGACTGTTGATTTAACGTAAATGATGATATGACATGATATAATAACATTTTTAATCCCTAAAACTTATAAATTCTATCAAATTAATCCTATTTTGAAATAATTAAAAAATCCTATTAATTTGATCCAACATAAAATTTTAAAATTCTCTTCCAAAACCCGATATTCCTCAAAACGCATTCTCGACGTTTTCGGCAACCGTTTGCTCAACCATAGCCATCACCTCTCCATGTGGACCACCAGTGTGACGAAGATGTCATTCTTAAAACCTTCTAACCACATTGTAATGTAGAAAGATTAGATATACGACGCTTCAACGGACACATCTTATTCCCAGATTGGTTGAACTCATCGACATTGGTCCAACTGAAGCATGTCATATTTGGCGATTGTAGAAATTGGATTCTTCTGCCTTCCTTGGGACAACTATCTTCCTTAGAATCACTGCAAATATTAAGCATGAGCGGAGTAGAGAAAATTGGTGTCGAATTTCTAGGATTAACAAAAGAAGAGAGCGAAACATCATCCCCAATGAGTATCACAAGGCACGAGCGAAACAACAAATACCCTTCTTAACCATGCTTTCACTCTCGCTCTTTATTTCTTCCTTCCAATAACCAAATGCTCAAGACTAGAAAAAAAAATCCAATATAGGCTATTTCGGTCTAAAATGAAACTTAAAATGCTTTAAGTTTCATCCACAGACATCCTAAAGTAGCTTCTAACCTCTTAGGACCTCTTAACAAAATCAAATGGAGCTATATTAGCCTCCTTTCCATGGGTCTCATCCTGTCTGAGAAGACAGCCATTCGTAGATAGTGTAATTTCGATTACAGCAAAATTCAGGCCTGTAGGTCTAGAACTGTGCCTATTTTTTATTATAGCAAAAATATTTGATCAAAGAAAAACACATATCACACATCCATATTTGACACTGCAAATCTAAAGTAGCATAGACTTGCACATTCCGTTCTATCAATTCATTATTTTCCATACCTAGGATATAAAATCACAGAAAGTTATTCACCGTTTCTCTCCAATGTATAACAATTCTATGAAAACCAACTGGAAAATACCTGTGTTTTCCCAGGGCAAGCGTCCCTAAATCATGTATTTTTTAAGGGATGAGCCTTTATACTACAGTTTCATTTGACCAAAGCCTCCTTTGAATGAACCATACAGAGGTTGATATCTTTTAAAACGGAAGATATCATCAATCTGAATTGTATTTGATTCACTTTTCTGCGAGTTGAAATCAGCCAAATGTTGGTTCCCGTACACGTTCACGCTAAGTGTTTTCTTTCGAGTTGCACCGACTTTTATATTTTCATTGAAGAACTCTATCAGCTCTTGTTGCGTGAGTTTCTTTAGTGCTGCAACCTGTTGGAAACAGATGGTAGATATGAACCATTTAAGATCAAAGTAGATGAATTTCCTTTTCGAAAACTAGAAAATATCAGATCGATGGACATACCTCGGCTTCTCTCCTATCAAATTTGAGAGTCCCTTCAAGGATCTCTCGCCAGTAAAATCGAGATTCTTCCCTTAAATTCTTGTGCTTCTCAAGCTTCATATCGATCAATGCATTTACATTGCTCTGTGTAAAAAGTTGGCAGTTTATGATTAGAGGACAAACTCTCACTCAAATGTTGCTAAAATATTATTGGAATTAGTTTGAAATCCCTTCATCTACTAAATGCATAAAGTAATTCAACAAAGATATTCAGTAGTCAAAAGGATTTTCTAATTGTTATGCAGCTGAATTGTTAAATACGATAGTTAAACATGTATATTTTTTTTGATAGGAATAATAGGCCTCATTAAAAACCTCCCTCTTAGTTAGCTCTTGGAAAGAGTAACTATCGGAAGGAGGAAAAGAGTGCCTTAGTTTATTGAATAGAGAAACTATTACAATAAATTATACCAATACAATTAGGGCATCAGAATAAAACTATAATCTTAAAACACCCTATAAAAATACCCTTACAATCAACCAATCCCATCCTTAGCTAATTTATCTGCTTCCCAATTACATCCCCTAGGAATCCATCGAATAATAATCGCCCTCTCATGAACTAAGGACACAATATCCTCAACAAGTGAATTGAAGAAACTAGGAACAGAATTAGGCAGCAGAATCCAGTCTACAGCAGATTTACAGTCACTTTCTAGGATCAATCTTCCCTTTACCGCCCAATCTGATGATAGGAAAATGTCTAGGCCTTTCTTAATAGCTTTTAGTTCAGCCAACGGAGGAGGGCCTGGACCAATACTAACAGAGAAGGTCGATAGGATAATGCTATTACAATCTCTCAAAATACCTCCAATTCCTCCCTTCATCCCATCAGACTTGACAGCCCCATCAACATTAAATTTGTAAAAATCTATAGGGGGAGGCTGCCAACTTTGTTTCGAACTCCTATGAGTATTTTGGTAACCAAACCTGTCTGCTAGAGAGGGGTCCCCTACCAACAAATCAACTTGAATTTGGATATTAGGAAACTTTGCTAGAAACCATCTAGCCAACCTAAATCTTATTAGGAAAAAGAGAGGTTATATCAAGGCTAGAATTTTCAAACACTACTGAATTCCTTGCTTTCCAAATAAACCAAAGAACTACTCCCGGAATGAATTTCCAAATGTTCGATTTTCTGTTTAGATCAGACCATGAACTTAGCAAAACTTGTGGATCATTAGGCAAAGCTGTATAGATGTCCCAAATCTTCAACATTCTGTTCCAAATATCCCCTGCAACTGATCATGAGAAAAAAAGATGTTGGACTGTTTCTTCATTATTTTTACATAGTGGACATAGTGCGTCTTCAATAGGAACCCCCTTTTCTTCAGCTCAATTATGACTGCCAAAAACATGTATATTATAAATCCAAAAAACTGTTCCAAATAAAACTTTCAAGCAATCAACTATATTTGAATTCTAATACAATCCATAACAAGGCGTACAACACAACAGAAAGAATTTCAACAAAAGTTCTTGCCTATTATTAGTTAAGAAATTATCTATGGCATATATGAGAATGTTTCCTGGTGACTAGGGCAACGAAAACCCAGGTCTTACACAGAATTGAATTAAGATTTTTTTTTTTGATAGAAGTTGGAGGTCTCATTAAAAACTCCCTTCGTATTCGTTCACATATATATTAACGAACATTGGAAGGAAGAAAAGGGTACCTCAAATTTTATTGATAAAATACCCGATACAAAAGACACCACAGAATATCCTCTCATGGTGATGTACACCATTACAACAAACACCTTAACCTCATATGACCTCATCCAAAGCCACAGTCTAATCACCTTACTTCTAATTACACCACCAACAGTAGGAATAAAACAACGCAACGGAACATAATACAAATTAAAAGCAACACCTATAACCATATAGACTAAAACAACCACAATTGAAGAGACAAGATCTAATAAGACTCGTCTTCTTCAGGAGCCCAAGAGTTTGGTTTGAATGAAGGTTCTATCTCATGCACCATGGCCTTGAAGAAGTTGTCACCAACCTTCAATTCCACCATCGCATCAATTCTCGCATCAGCCTCTGTGAGGACTTGAATTTTTGCCCGATCAAAGGATGATGAAGACTGACAACTTTCGTCGATAACTAGTAATAAACCCCACTTATCAGCAATGTTCTTGAAAGTATCCCAATTTCATGCGTGAAAAGGAACACCCTCGCAAACTAACCATACTCGATGACACTCCATTACCAAAATCTCTGACCAAGCTTCGAATATGGAGAACCACTCTGCGAGAATCTTTGATTTATCGTTCTTCACACTTCTCAATGAAGCATTGTCTTCGAAAATCATTAAAACCGCATTACCAACAACTCTCATTAAGGTGAAGCCAGTGAGGCCCTTCGCTTGCATTTGTCTGGCGAGATGACCAATTTTGACAAAGTCCTTGCACCACCCCACTAGACAATTGCTCAACACCTGAAGTTTTTCTTCATCTATAACACCTTCAACTTTATAATGATTCTTCCTCGAAACATCTTCCATCCCGGACTTGCGAAGAACACCTGTCAAAGACTTTCTCCAAAAGGACTGTCGAGGTTTGAATTTAGCGAAATAAACACCAATTTTGCTTCCGTCGATATGAGAACCATTCATTTTTGAGATCGCTCTCCTAGCTTCATCGATAGTTGCGAAGCGAATGAAACCAAAACAAACTCCTTTTGAATTTCTTTTATGAGAAAATAACCTCATTGACCAAAAATACCTTATAATATACGATTTTAACCAACTTTTTTTTTGGATTTGCCAAAATGACCAACTAAATCGCAATGCGATCGATAATTCGCAACGCGATCTCCGGTATCGCAAATCAGTTTCCAGATTCGCAACGCGAACTTCGACTATCGCAATGCGAACTTGGACTATCGCAATGCGAACTTAGAATATCGCAATGCGAATATGTAAATCGCAATGCGAATATGTAAATCACAATGCGATAGTCGGCTATCGCAATGCGAATATGTAAATCGCAATGCGATAGTCCAAGTTCGCATTGCGATAGTCGACTATCGCAACGACTGGTGGTATTGCATTTGTTTCTTAAGAATTTTCTCTAAAAAGATAGTATTCGCGCGGACGTGTCGAAGACACGTATTACCACGACCACGACCAGACCCGAGACGAGACGACGGCGGTGGCGCGCGAGAGTCTCCCTTGTTCTCTATCACTCAACAAGGAAGTGGGAAAGCCAAGCCTTAAATACCATTCCCAATAGTGTTTCCAATACTATGTGGAATTGAGCATTACCAACACTTGTTTCCAATACAATATGATTATTCAGGAAACAATTAACAATCATGCACCTTAAAACAACTGAATCAGCAACCAATTGCATTAGTATTATACGATTAAATATGTCATAATTAAATGTCAATCTACAATCAATCGCGATTATTGCAATTTTAAGCAAAACATTCAAAAATAATATCACTATTTAAGGCTCAATCCCACATAGTATTGGGAACAAGTGTTGGTAATGCTCAATCCCACATAGTATAGGAAACACTATTGGGAATGGTATTTAAGGCTTGGTTTTCCCACTTCCTTGTTGAGTGATAGAGAACAAGGGGGACTCTCGCGCGCCGCCGCCGTCCGTCTCGTCTCGGGTCGTGGTAATACGTGTCTTCGACAAGTCCGCGAGAATACTATCTTTTTAGAGAAAATTCTTAAGAAACAAATGCAATACTGTCGTTGCGATTTTGGACTATCGCAACGAACTTGGAATAAATCGCAACGCGAACTTCGACTATCGCAACGAATTTGGAATAAATCGCAACGCGAACTTGGAATAAATCGCAACGCGAACTTCGACTATCGCAACGAACTTGGAATAAATCGCAACGCGAACTTCGACTATCGCAACGCGAATATGTAAATCGCAATGCGATAGTCGAAATTCGCGTTGCGAATCTGGAAACTGATTTGCGATACCAGAGATCGCGTTGCGAATTATCAATCGCATTGCGATTTAGTTGGTCATTTTGGCAAATCCAAAAAAAGTTGGTTAAAATCGTATATTATAAGGCATTTTTGGTCACTGAGGTTATTTTCTCTTCTTTTATTTGGAATAAAAGCATCAAGAACCCGACCATGGGAGCGAAATAAAGATCCAAACCTCTTCCAGTGAATGTTCTCTGGTAAGTTATCAATAAATAACGTGTAGCATCCAGTCTTATCATTACTGCACCCCTTTGAGGTGGACTCCAACAACATCCTCTCATATTTTCCCCCCGCCGCAGTCCTACACTGCTTCTCTTTGGCCTTCTCCACTATCTTCAAAGTCGGCGTCTGCTGCTCCACTCTCTGTTAATGAAGCTCCGATTCCGTAACCTTCGGCACCAAAATCTCCACTCGATTCGCCTTCTTATTCGGAATTTTCAAACTTTTTCCAACCTCTTTATCCCCACTATTGAACTGACGGCCAGCCTTAGCCCCGAAAGCTGCGGCTTCAACCCTCATCTCATCTTCTTCCTCGCGTTTCTTGGTCACCTTTCCCTCCAGCACATGGACATCATAACTTGATGGACGAACTTCTTTAGGAACGGAAGATGAATCTGCTGTCTCCCTCCCAGCTGCAAGCTTGTCATCGACAAATTTCTTTAAGGTTTATGCATCTTGCACAGCTTCTCTTGCTTCCCTTAGTTTAGCTGAAGACTCTTTAACGAGCTGTTCAATATCAAGCGTTGTCTTATGCAATTTGTCACGTAATTCAGCGGTGTCTTTAAGTGAACCGAGGGAATTGACAAGGCGATCAAATGCCACAATAGCAGTTCGTATCTTGGAAATCCCCGCCTCCACAGACTGCGAAGCCGAAGCATGTTCTGCAGCTAGCCTTGGCTTTTGCCGAGAGGACTTGTAATGGTGAGGTGTAAGGCCGAAGCATGTTTGGTGAACGATAGCTGGAATTTCTTGAACTAAAAGAAAATAAGTTTACAGGTGCCGTTCTTGTGCAAAGAAGAGTAAAACTTTTTTTTTGATAAGAATGTAAGGCCTCATTAAAAACCCCCTTCTTAATTTAAGGAACTTGAAGAAAGCTCTTTAGTCAGCGGAAGGA